CCCGCCTCGGCCTCCCAGAGAGCTAGGATTACAGGCGTGAGCCACCGCGCCCGGCCCCATTCAACACTTTAATGCATAGGCCTACTTACACAATTCTTCATTCAGTCCAGGTAAGACCGAGCATTGCTGTTAGTTCAAATACTCATTACAATTTTAAACAATAGATTCTCTATTATAATCCCAGTGGAGGCCTTGCTTCCTTCTCATTTTAACAACTCTGCTGCTGCTGATGGTAGGATGTAGATTTTTTTGTGTGTGTATTTTATGTGTAAATGTCTGTGGGGTATGAAGAAAAATCAGCAATTGTAGAGTGAAAATAGGCCTCTGATGAAAATACTTTTGACTATGTTAATGACAGAAATGAAAGAGGGAGGGAGGAAAAGAGGAGAAAATGAGAAAGAAAAGGGAAGAGAACAAAACAGGAAGACAGAAGGACAGAAAGATAGAAGGTAGTTGAACAAGAAAGTTAGTAAAGAAGGAGAAAAACTAGATTGACACCAGGATTGTTAAGTCTTTTGTGGCTCCTGATACAATATCACAGGCATAGACACAAGAAATGATAATGTGTCCTTTGAAGAGAAATCAGAGTATTAGGATTTTTACAATATCAAAGTAGATTTGGAGCATAAGGCGATAATTATACAGTGTTCTTTCAAAACGAAGATAATGTTTCAAACACATCATCAAAAAATACATATATTTTGACCCACTGTTCCAGAAATAGACATGAATTTTTCACACCAGCCATGCCAGTTGTCTGGTCTCTGGAGTCAATGACTCACCTAACTAAGATGCAAGATTAAAGTTGGGATTCAGTACAAATCTATGTGACAGAACAAACAATTGGTTTATTCAGTGACCAAAGCTCAAATGTTAAAAGCCTGTACCTGTCCATCTGTTCCAATGGTGCCTCCACAGTCAGTGAGAAGTTCTGACATGTCATAGTAGCTGACAAACTCCCATAAACAGGCCTCCAGGTTCAGGTTTCGGTAGAAGCGTAAGGTATTAGAACCTCTGATAGATGAGCTGTACTGATAAGGATATGTCTCTCCAATGATTTCTGGATTTTTTGTAGCATCAGTCAAGAAACCATGGTGGGTCTTTACTTCCGTATAATCCAGGAGGTTGGAGCACTTGTGGTTTCCAACTCTTGTGCCATCGGGGCTCAGGGTGAGCTCAAAGTTGGAAAGCTCTCTAGTGGAGATCACAGGGAGCATGCCTATGAGAAATGGAAATCATTGTTAAAGTTCTTACAGGCAGCCAAGAATTCTCAACACTTTATAATTTCTTTATCTCCTGAGAAAACAAGTGTTATAAAATACTGCACAGCAGTGATTATGAAAGTGGTATCCTAGGAACCTTGGGGTTCCCTAGGAATTTCTTAGGAGATCCATGACATTAAAGCTATTTTCATAATAATACTATGTTATTATTTGATTTTCCAACCGCATTTTCTCACGACTGTACATTAGAGTTTTTCAGAGGCTATAAGACGTGATAGATTGCAAAAGGTTTCATGCAGAAGCAGATAGGAGAACCCAGCTGTCTTCTATTAAGCCAGACATTAAAGATAACATCAAATATATTAATATATACAATGCCACTCTTATTATTATTTTTGTTTTATAACTTACAGTTATTTTTCTTAAGAGATATTTTTCATGGTAACATGTAATGGATTTTTTTTTATTTTTAAATGAATGAATATTTAACAATTCCTCTGTTTTAGTTTTAAATCTAATAAACATTTATAGATATCACCCACAAAAACAAAATGTCTTTGAGATCTTCAAGAATTTTTAAGATGTCCTGAGATAAAAAAAAAAAAAAAATTGAAAATCACCATTATACAGCATAGGCTAAGGATAGGTGAACTTCTGTAAAGGGCCAAATAGTAAATATTTTAGGAGATTTGTGGGCCTTGAGGTCTCTGTTGAAACTTTTCAATGCCGCCATTGTGGAGCTAATGCCACCACTATGCAAAGGAATGAACATAACTGTGTGCAATAAAACTTTATTATGGGCAATGGATTTGAATTTCATGTAATTATCATGTCTCATAGCCTTCTTGTTTTTCCCCCCAAACACTTATAAATGTAAAGACCATTCATAGCTTGCAGACCATATGAAAACAGGCAGCAGGATGGATTTGGCCACAGGCCATAGTTTGCTAATCCCCAGCATAAGAAATGCAGCAAAAGACTATGGAAGAGGTCTTCTCTCCGAGCCTTTCCCACACTCCCTCTCTGATTCTCCCAGAGCAAAACTCTGGCCCCATAAAAGAACTGGGCAGCCTCCTCCATGCTTCTGGCAGAGCTGTGGCTATTGAATGTTCCAGAAAATGTGAAGTCAAGCCCTAAGAGTGGCACAGGGGACCAACCACTATTTTTATTAGGAAAGAACTATTACAGGTCCGTTTTTCCCTAATGGGTCCCTTCTCAGCCCTTTGCAGCTCAAGTCTCATCTCCACACAAACCTAGAGATACGGTGGTCATGGAAACCAACATTACACTGTAAAGTGAGGAGATGCAGATTCCTGTCTGCCTACTCCCCCCAACTCAGGATGAATTTGGGGTTATCATAAGCAGATAAAGCAAGATGTCCTTGTTTTGAGGGAGGTAAATTCTACCTTGTAGTTCCTGACATTGCCTGATGTTTCTTCTCCCTTACCTATGTAAATATAAGTAGCATACCAAGTAATAAAGTTAATACTAACAATTTCCTTCAATTATAAAGTAAATTGAGTGGAAAAAAACTTGAAATGCCTTCTGTACATGGGGAAATGTGTGGATGAAGTTTATCGACTCACACATTCTGGTCATAGCCCCCTATACAGAGAAAATGAAGGCAAAATATAGTACTTGTTAGTTTCATTTTTTTTTATTTTATTTTACTGTCTAGAAAATATCTTAGTTTTACAATAAATATTAAGAGAGACTTACAAAACTCCAGTTATGAAATAGCAAATACATACTGAAGGTAAGCATCAAGATATCAGAATGTTTTACTAGAACTTCAAGTTCGCATTTGAAGATGCATTTGTACTCTTTCATAAAAGCCAGCATATTAGTCAAAGTTTTGTTTTATTGTGTTTGGACATGTATTACGTAATTTTATTAAAATAAAGAATTTTTAAATTGCCAGACTTTTAAAAACTGGGTAGAACAAATCAGAAACCGTCGAAAGAAGCAGGACTTGAAGGTCAAGTTCCAAGTTGAACACTTTTTAAAGCTTAGTTGTCTAGAAGATTAAGTAAAATAAACCAGGTAATGAGGAGCCCAGAACCCTTCCGCGGATTTGCTTACCCAAGTCACCTACCATCTATGTGTGGCATCGTGACAGTGAGCTTGATAAGGTTTGTGTGGTCCGGGTCCTCAGGGCCCGTGTAGCGTAGTTTAGCTGAGAACGGCTCTGCTCCCACGACCCCAGGCATGCGGGGCTGACAAAGACCTTGAGGGAAAATGAACATATTTATGCTAAAGGAAGATCATGTTGAATGCTTAAAGAATATTAAATAATATTTTAAAAATA